AAAATGCTCGAGAAGGAGAGAGATATAAAAAAAAAAACATATTGTAAAACCCCTTATTTAATGGATAAAGGGCTGCAGTGTAAGCAGCGAGGTTGGACAAATAGGGGACAGTAAGGAAATCATTGGTAAATGAGGGCACTTTCATTAAAGGTCCCCCCCGAGGGAAAAGGGCCGAAGAATTTCCATAAATTATAGGCCTGAGATAGGTTTGGGAAAAAAGCCCAGGGGGAATTTTGGTTCTTGTAAGAAAACCCCAAAAAAAGGGGGAAAAAACCCGGAAAGCAACATCTGAAGCTCACCCCGATTACCCTGAGGCCCCGGTTTTTCCACTGTAAAAAAGGCCATGTTTGGGGAAGAAAAAAAAATTTCAGGAAAAATTTTAGGTAAAGGGGCCCCAAAGGACTAGGGGGGGGTTTAAAAAGTCCAAAGTGGGTGGCATTGGGAAAAGTTCAAGGAGCGAAGGAACGGGGTTGCGAAGAATGGGGTTGTGGAAAATGGGGGGAGGGGGAAGGGGAAGGAACAGGAAATGAATCAGTGTCCATTGGGAAAGGGTTTAAATCTCTGCAATATATTCTGAAATGGTTCAAGTGTTTCCCCGAATTCAAAGTGTATGGGGAAAAAAAAATTGGAGAAAGGAGGGGGGAGGGTTTAGTAAAAATTGGGACGTAAGGACTGACCAAAGTAGAGGGGGGGGAAAAGTGAAAAGGGGCTGGGGATAAGGTTGGGGGGGACAGAAGAGGTAGAACCCGGGGGGTGACCGAAGGGGAGAAACTTGGGGGGGGACGGGGGTGGAAGGCATAAATACGGAAAAAGGAGGAGGGTTTAAAACCCCCACTTTTTAATAGAGCCCAAAAGAGGGGGGAAAACTAGGTACGAGACGGAAAGGTAAAAGTGTGGAGGTGGGAAAAAGGGAAGGGGAAAGGGGGGAAAAAGAAGATTTGAGCAAAGTGGGGTTTTTTTGGGCTTTGAAAATAGGGGGGATTTGGGATTGGGGTTTGTACGAGGTCCCTTTTCGATACTGGGGCTTGTGAAAGGAGCGAAGATGTGGAACAGACTGATTGGTCCCGGGGCGTCAGAGCCCCAAAGGGCAGCAAAAGGAAATTTGATGCCCTAATTTTGGGTATGGGGGGGGTTTAAAAACAGAGGAGGGGTGCAGAAATGGGACCCCGAAGGGGGGGGAGTTTGGAAACACCGGGGAAATAAAAACACGGGGGAGTCTCCCTTGGAGGGGAGATGAGTACTTTCCATAGCATAAAGGGGGACCTTCTGCCCCTTTGAGGCAAAAGGGTTTCAAAGTTCATTTAAGTAAACCTGGCAACGGCGGGAGTACGGGAAGGGGGAGCTTTTTACAAATTTAAAGGGAAAATGGGGGAGGGCTCAAGAAAGTATTTGAATGGTTTTGGACCACAGGGCTGGGGGATTCGGCCTTTGATCTGGGAATATTTCGCTGGGTGACCAAAACCCCGTAAATTTTTACTTGTTTCGGTGTAGGTATACCTTTCGAAATTGGGAACCCATGTCCCCACATATACAGAGGACGGGGGTTCTCGGCTGTCAAAAGTTTTAAAAAGGCCACATTGCAAGGGTAACGTCTCCCCCCCCGGGGGAGGAAAGGGCATAATGTCCCACTTTGAGGGTTGGGAATCCTGGGGGTTCCCCGCTGTTCAAAAATGTCATTGCCCCATGACTGGAAATTCCGTTGGACCTATGGTATGGGGCAGAATGACAAAAAACCCCCACAAAAAATTGAGGAAAGATGTTTTTCAATAGTGAAAAGGAAATGTTCGATATTCGAAAAGGGGAGAAAATCATGAGCTTTGGGGAGCATTCTGGACAGTGACGATGCGGTACCGCTCTTGAGAGCGTGAAATGAAAATCTCTGCCAACATTTACGCAGGGGGCGCTTTGGGGAATTCTATTGGGCAAAAGGTAGGCAGAAGAAGAAGTTGGTCTTAAAGTAAAAAAATTTTGTCCCCTTGTGTGGTCCCAAACTGACGTGGGGAGGGAGTGCTTGACGTGTCGGTCGTTTTCCCAGTAGAATGGGAAAGGGAACGACGGAGCATATCAGGAGATTTTAGTTGGCGTTTTGGGGGTAGGACCGGGTTGGGTTTCCCGGGATGAAATGGGTGGGCGAAATTTTAAAATTTCCGTAACCCTAGAGGGGGAAGGGCCCGGAAACATAGTCAAAGGAGAGCGGGGGTTTTAGACAAATGAAAAGGGGTCAGTCGAAACCCCCGGACCTGAAGCGGGTGAGGAAACAGCAAACCCGCAAGAGGTTTCAGGGGCATCAGGAGTGCCGAAGAGTGGGGCTAAACACAAGGCAGGGTCAAATGGGGTCGGTATCCCAAAAAGGGGCCCGGGGGTAGTGGTTTTTATGGACTTTGGGTGCCATGGTTAGGTTACTCCTTTTCTTTTTGTTTTTTTAAAAAAAAAAAAAGAAAGAAAAAAAGAAAATAAAAAAAAAAAAAAGAATAAAAAAAGGGGGGGCGGGGAGGAAAAGTTCCCCGGAGGAATGAAAAGGGGCCGGAAATCTCCCCCCGCGCCCAAGAGGACTCGACACCGTAGAGCGCAGATTTCAGCATGGAACCCCTGCCAAAACCCCACCCTTTTTTTTTTTTTTGCCAGTTTTAAAAAAAAAATCCGGGATAGCAACCCCAAATCTGCCGAGCTAACCCCCCGGTGGGCAAAAAAGAGGGCGGGCCGGGGTATCCGCCCCAAAGCATTCCCCTTTAGCCAACCCGCCGGTTCCGAAAGTGGCTTTCCCAAAATACACCCGCGCCCCAAAAGGGCACCCAAAGCTAATCCGGGGGTAAACCCGGGGGGGATCGGGCATCCCTAGGCAAAACCAGAATTTCCCCGGAAAAATACGCCCCCGCCAAGAAAACCCCAAAGGAAAAGGGTCGACCCCGGTGTCCTTTTCCCCCAACCCAGGAACTAGCGCGCCTGTGGGGGAAATCACAAAGGCCCAAAAAGAGGAAAAGGGAAAAGGGGGGGGTGAGGGGGGAGGAGGGGAATGGGGGAAAAAGGGGAGGAGGGGGAGGATGGGAAAAGGGGAGGGGGGGAAATGGGGGGTAATTAAAGGGCGGGGTTTTGGAAGAAAAAACCGACAGGGCTAATTTTCCCCGAACCCAAAAGGGCCCCTTCACCACGCCCGGGGCCCCCCTTGAAGGGTAGGACAATAGTACCCACCTTCACACCCGTTGGCAAAAACGTTTGGGCTACCCAAACCCGGGAACAAACTTCGTTATTAAAAACCCCCCCCTTAGGTTTTTTGGCCCTTTTTCTTGTCACCGTTTCCCGGGGTTGGGCGGGGCTGCTCTCTCCCCCTCCCGCATTGGCCCTATTCGTCTTACCCATGGGGGGCACCCTGCTCCCTCTTTGAGAATTGTCAGGGGTTTCCCTTACGGTTTTAGCCCCATTCCGTTTTGCTGCCCCCCCTTTATCAAGGGGAAAACCCCAGAATTTACCTCCCTTTTGGTTTTGGCCCCTGCTGCTCTCTCTTTTTCCTTCCCTTTCGTGATGGACCCACTTTTTATCCCGGGCTCTCTCCAAACGAGTTTTTTACAACAACTTACATACTTCACAAACTCTGATGATACCTTTGGGCCCCTTTTAAAAACGGCTTTGCTACCCGCACTATCCCCCCGCCCCCCTGTTTTTTTTGTAACCTACTGATCGCCCCCTTTCCCCTTTTGCCGCCCCAAAAACCCTCGCTTCCTTTCCCACCTTGCAGTCTAAAATTTTGCCCTTGTGGGAAGCAAATTCTTTTTTATTATTTTAAAAATTTTTCTCAATCCCCAAATTTCTTTGGTTTAGGTACCTGATATTCCCCGCCCTTAAAAAATTTAAAGGTTTTTATGCCCTGCTTTAAAATGGTAAAAAAAAAAAATTTTTGGGGATAAATTGGCATGGGTTTTAGCAGGGGATTTGTAAAAGATCAGTTTTTTTTAAATTTAAATTTTATTGAAATTGTTTAAAGATTTTTTTCGGGACTGTATCAGTTATCCTTTCCCTTCATGCAAAAAATTTTTTAAAAGTTTAATTTATTTTTTTAAAAGGAAAGCAAAATTTGAATTATAATTGCCTACAGGGAAAGAGTATTCCCCCCATAAAAGATGGGAGTTTTAAACCCCTGGCATAAAAATTTTCAAATTTTTATCACATATAATAGGGCCCCAAATTTAAAAATATAATGCCTTCCTGAAAATTCATTGTAAATTTTTAGAATTTTGGGATTATTGAGCCCTGATATTCCTTATCCCCAATTTTTGTTAATTTTTTTCCCTCAAAAATTTCCCCCTAATATACATTTTATATTATTCCTTAACACTTAAAAAATTGTACGTGCAAAATTTGCTCCCCGTGTGTGGCTACAAGGGGTCGGTCTTTTGTCCTGGGCCCTTTCACCTCGGCTTTCCGATTGACACTTCCCCCCAACCTTGTGGTCCCTAAACATCCCTTTTTTTCAAGTTTTGTATGAAATCTGCCCCCACTTTCCTCTTTTAAGGTCATCCCATTATCCCAACCCCCCTGGAAAAATGAAGAAAATATCCCTTAAAAATCCCTGTGCTTTTTCCCGTTTTTAGCTTCCACTGTGTAATGTTTGCCCGCCCTAACAATTCTAGTGAAAATTTTTTTATGTTATGTAGTTCCTTTTGGGCCTTTGGTCCCAGGGTCAAATTTGATTTAAAATTTTTTTAGCTTTTTTCCCTTTAGGCCCCATACCCCTTAGGGTCTGGAATATTTTTTTGCAAGGGGGGGGGGATAGGGTTTTGGGGGGGGGGGGCCCGTCGGGGGGGAAACCCGTGATTTTGTACCCCAGGGGAATACCCCCTTTTACATAATTTTCTTGGGTTTTCATATTTTTCCCAAAAATTTTATTTTTATTACAAAACTCTTACATTTATGATTTCAGTCAAATTTTTAAAACTTTCCTTTATATTACTGTTTTAAATGTTGTTGTTTAAACAATCTGATTTTTTTTTTTTAAATACTTACAGAGTTATGAAGAGATATTTAACCATCACTAACCTGGGGTTGACTGGTATGGTGCAGCAGCAGCAGTGTTCACTACAGCAGAGCCATGAGCACTCTTCTTCCCCCCCCTCCCCTCCCTTCTTAATCCTAGAAAACACAATTGGTGGGGTAAAAGTTCTTTTAAACAATTGGGGGGAAAAATGACTGAAAAATGTAGTGAGAAAATTCTTCCAGAAATTTCGGGACAGCCGTTTACAGTGCTGCCGAATGTTTGTGCTTCTCTTGTGTTATCATACCAGAATTGTGGATCAGCCTTTAGTTCAAGTGAATCTGAAAATATTGGGATAAGTGTTGGCCACAAGCTTAGAATTTTTCCCTTTGTATATAGTGTACAGAAGTTTCTACTCTCCTTGGTCCATAGTGACTGTGTATAGCGAGTTCCTTTTTTTTTTTTTGTTTTTCTTACTCAGTGCTTACCTTGAAACTACAACATAGGGACACCTCCAGTGATCAGTGTATAAACTATAAAAACTATTATATTATATTTATGGGGAAGCGCAAAACCCATAGAGGGTCATACAGCGCCTGGGGGAGTGAGGAATGGGAGGCAATTAGGTTTGATCCAAGGAAATAGAGGGTAGCTTCAATTCCCTGGATCGAGAGGCCTTCACTGGCATCAAGGTTTCTCCCTTGAACTGTAGTTATCATAGATTTGGTAAATCAAAAATTGCAGAAGTGAGGGCACAAGATTAAAATAGTTTCACAGGGTAGTGAACATTATTGAACAAGTTATAATTGGACATCTTAGGAATTTCTGATTAACCAAATCTCGGGTAAATGCAATATTGGTGAAGGGTAAAGTACAGCATTGATGTTTGTTCTACTCTGGGCTAGCAAGCATGTTACTGCATAACTGCCATAGTTAAGTAATTGTTATACAATATGTTCTCCTTTTATGTTAAAAGGTATGCACTTATTTGAATACACTTCATATTTTTTTTTTCCATCTTGGACAACAGATTCCAGTAACTGAATACTATTGAGCTGATAAAGGAAGCTTTGAAGTAGCAAACAGTTAGAAACGAATCATTACATAGCAAATAAATTCTGACGGTTACAACAATTAGCTGGTAGAAATTTATACATCAGACACAGCTTTTCCCATTAACTAAAGTCTGCATTACATTACAGATTGATAAAAGCAGGAACCCAAGTGTTATGTGAGTGGAGGGTAGTTAAAATATCAAAGGTGAATTATTTCAGAGATGTGTCTGAATTCAAGCTTGTCTGATGTATTGTTGCATTTTTTGTTAAATACTGAAAAATAAACAATTCATATTAGTTAAAATGTGCAGAATGTGAAAGTTAACAGGATTGCACGTCTGTCACAGAAAGGAGTACTGAATGGCAAAAGTATAGCTCTTGAGATTTTCTTTTCGTAATACAAAACGAAAGCAAAAGCGATCGTTTCTATATCTTGTAATTGATGTTCCTTTCTATGAGTTTAGTAGTGCATGAAGCAAATTATCCTCTTTTAGAAAGAGAAACCAGGTGGTAAAATTAGTGTTGTACTCTGTACAGTGAAAAGGATTGTATCTTCCAAATATGTAGTTTCCATGTGGGACTGCAAAATTTTATATTTGCTTCTGTTAATAGTCACCACTACGAGTAGGAATTTGTCACCTATGTTTAAAAGTTTAACGAGTCTTGTCACTTGGAAAGAAAGTAATTTCACTTATTTTCTGAATCATCATAGGATAACTACAGTATATTGAAGTTCTGAATAAAGTAACAGTTTTCTCCTTAAATTGAAAAACAAGAAAATATTATGACTATATAATAAAACTTAGAAGCTATATAGCCATGACTTAAATGTTTCTGGTTTGGGAAAAACTTACCCTTGTTGCTCTATTCAGAATAAAGATATAAAAATATTTTAAGTGAAGCCTAAACATGGCACATTTATCACTATGTACATATTCATATTTAAATTTGTCCAGATAGTAGAGAAAGAAGGCAAATGGTGTGAGTAACTTTTACTTAAAAGACTTCACTTAGCAACACCTTACAAGCAGTGATGGGTTTTAACTGAAGACATACCAGATGTCAAAGATTTAATAGATTAATCAGAGTTCATATCTTTAATCCTGGTAAAAGTCTAAAATATCTTTTAAAACTGCTTTAATTTTTAACTCAGGTTGCAAGCTTCCAGTAGTTACTCTGAATAAGGATTATATGCTAAGAATACCTTTCAATACCAATTTCTCTTAATGTTTTCCTTATGAAGTATACTGCTTATAAATGGCATTTAACTGATGCTCAGTCATAAATTGGTAATATAACTTTGAATATCAATCTGAAATTGTAGTTAGTATTGATGAAAGTGTTAAGAAATCAAAGTTCACTTTCCCTCTTTGTACCCTCATCTTCAACTCACTCTCAATAAGCTCTTGTATGTTTGATAAAGTTAGATGAGACTTGCATTACCTCAAAAATATTGCTGCAGTAGAAATAAATGCTCAGTTCCTCATGCTAATGTCTGTGTGCAGTGATTTTGGTAGGCTGAGTGCTATCCTATTGTGTGTGTTTGTACAAATGAAACCACTTGTTTAGGGGATATTAAAGAATTTTTGGATGTACATATTGATGCCCTCCAGAAATATTTTGCATGTTTCTGTAGTTACCTAGGTAAGGACAAGAAAATGCATTTGTTTATTTTTATTAGAAGTAGAAACTCAAATTAATCTATGAAATGTCTATCACTATAGTTACTATATGCTTTCCTGCAACTCTTCTAGTCAATGCATGTACAGTACATCAGGAACATTAATTTTTCAGGTTTTACTAGGATCAAATGTCTGTTGCATTTTTCTAAATATTTTGGGGTAGGGTGGGGGAAACATTCTACACATTAGTGAAGGTACAATAGTGTAGCCAAGGTAGTGCTTTGGATTACTTTCATTCCATGATAAAAATCGAATAACAAACTTGGAAATTTAGATTTATATTTTTAATATTCTCAGGATTAAATTTTGTAATACAATAAATTAATAGTTTAGTAATGCCAAGTTTTTTGTATACTAGTTCTTATAAACAACTAAGGATTATCACCTCTTTATCTATAAGCCACCAGTTTTGGACTTGCCTACATTTTTCACTCAGTCTGGCCTTCCATTCTCAGATTTCCATTTTCTATGCCGAATAAGGACTGTCCCATTGGTCTGGAGTTCATTTGTGTATCAGATGCTATTTAGTGATAAAAAAAAAGAAAAAGAAAACAGTAGTAGTTTTGTTTATAGAGGTACATGTTTTGTTCACATTTAGTGAACTTTCTCAAGTGAATCTATGAAATCAAAGACATGCTCATATATATATATATATATATATCAATAGGGAAGTTAGGAGGGGTGGTGCATCAAAGCCATTTAGTTGCTCTATCCTACTTGTATTCCAGTAGGAACAACACTATAAAAACACTGGTACTAGGCTTAGATCAGGCTGTAGAAGTCCCATTCGTTCCTTTAGAACAGATGGAGTTTAGTACACGTACTTTTTTTTTTTTTTTGAGAAAGGATTGTATAAAGATTTCCTCAGGATATAATGAAGTATTCAAAACTAGATAAAGAAATTTAAGGATGAAACAAAAAAAACTTAGGACAGACTATGAGGAGAGTTCCTTAACCAAGGAATCTGAAGGCAAACCTGATTACTTCCTATTCCCCAGGTGTTGTATGAGAGATCATGAAGATCTGTTACTTCTCCATTATAACAAAATTTATGAAGCACTAAAACCTTGGCTATTATGCAGCTTTCACAGAAAAGGATGCCAATATATTGTTGCCAAATATACCACTTTGGTACTCTGCATTCCAACTGTTGCTACCAGAATTAACACATTACAAGAGAAAAGTATTGGAAAAAAAATTAGTCTAGGTCCAAGCCATACAATTGAGAAAACAGCATTAGTAAGAGTGTTGTGAAAGAAAAGGTAGTAGCATCATTGGATGTGATAATGACGAGTTCATATCTCAAAGTTCAGGATGTATCTGTAGTCACAAGCAGAAAGCTATAATCATAGATGTCAGAAATGGCAGTATACAGCCATTAATCCAGTCCAAACTAATCATAATCCATAATAAACTACAGCAAATTGTGACAAATGGAGAAATTTTCCCATTAGGTCAAGAAAGGGACTTAAAAAGTTCCACCACTAAAAGGTGACAGCATATTTTATCAGTTATTAAATTTATACTTTGCTAAAAAAAAAAAAAAAAAAAAAAAAAAAAAAGATTATTAGGTTGTTCTGTTACAGCACACCAACCTACAAGAAATTAGATTATATTGAGAAACTCATGACAGTTGCACTGTCAGTGCTCTAACATTTGGCTAGCCCAAATAGAACTTATTATTCATGGGGGAGTGCTAAACCTTTAGGGGTCATACAGTGTCTGGGGAATGGAAGGCAGTCAGGCTTAATTCGAGGAACTGAAGCAGAGGTTCAAAGAGCTCATGTTACGTACATAGACTATAGGTACTGCATAGACAAATCTTTACAACGTTTATGACCTGTTCACGAGTCTAAATTACTTGTTCACTTCATAAAAAAAGAAAGGTGATTTCTCCTTCATTAGAGTAAGTGTGTCTGCAACTTCTTACAAGATTAGAACTTTGTTGCCAAAGACCACAATCCTGCACAAAGGTTGTTTTCTCTCATACTGTGTAACAGGATAGATTTTACAAGTGGTAGTAGGTCTGTCAAGACAAGCTAGACAGCTTCAGTGAAGCAACAGATAAATCCATCATTCCACTATTGTTATAGTAGCTACAGGAGCAATGCATTGTTCAGGGGAGAGAGATACCTGATAATAAATTTATACTAGATACCACACTAGTTACAGCATACTACCATAAGTATGAGAGTAGAGCAAACCCAGAGAAAAGTATGGACGCTATAAGCAAAATTAGAGAACTGTTAATATGCGGGACCCAAGACAGTTCAACCTATTACCAACAAGTACCAGAAATATAAGCAGAACAAGGTACAAATTTTCACAATAGAATTTTGTCATTTTCTTCTCAAAGTGTCAGAATATCAAGAATGTATAGGCCTGTAGGCCACAAACAGCCACAGCCTGGTAGATCAAGCACTCAACAAA